CAGAAAAATTAGTAATGAAATGTTATTCTTTGAATTTTTCCTGAGTCTGTAATTGGTTATTTTCATTTCTTTTGTTATTTATTTATTTGGGGGAGATCTGACTTTTGAGATGGTTTCCTAGTGATACCTAGTTACTCTGTTTTGTTTTAAGTGATACATATGTAGTAGTAGTGTTGCTATTTTGACTGAAAACCTCAAGAAATTTTGTTTTAAGCCAACAATCCTTGTGTAATATACCTCGTTGGTTACTAAAAGAAAGTTATTGGTATTTTCTCTCAAGGTTATTATGTTGTTAAAATAAAATTTACTTAATTTATAAAGGAAAGTAAATAGGCAGCCATATTCTAAATAAAAATTAGATTTTTATTATATTAGGACCATTTCAGGGGATGTAATTGAATTCAAGTGTAGGCTTACTAGGTTTTTGTCCTATATAAATGACTAGTGTAATTTGTTATAAGTGATAAAATATGTATTTGGTATTTCAAGCTAGTGATTTAATTGTGGCATTCTTTTTCATTGTAGGACATTATTTTCTCATGATACAAAGCATTTAATACATTTTCCAGTGATTTTTGAGATGGAGAGTAAAGAAAAAAAGTGATGAAAGGGTCTGCTAAGTATTTTCTTGTTTAATTACTAACTGGTCATGCTCCAAGGACCTCTGGTGGTGCAGTGGCCAAGCACTTGGCTGCTAACCAAAAAGGTGGATGGTTCGAGCCCACCAGACATTCTGCAGGAGAAAGATGTGGCTGGCTGCTTCTGTAAAGATTGTGGCCTTGAAAACCCTCTGGCGTAGTTCTGCTCTGTCCTATAGGTTCTGCCATGAGTCAGAATCGAGGCAGTGGGAGTGGGTTTTGGCAGTGCTGCTAGTTTATTTGTCCATCATCACTTTAGTGTTGTTGTTGTTGTTGTTGTTGTTATGTGCCATGGAGTCGGACCTGACTCATAGAGACCGCTCCTTGGATTTCCGAGGCAGTATCATTATGGAAGTAGATTGCCCAACCTTCCTTGCGAGGAGTGGCTGGTGGGTTTGAACCGCCAGCCTTCTGGTTAGCAGTCAAGTGCCTTAGCCACTATGCTACCACAGCTGCCCATTTGCATTCACATGCCAAGTATTGAGTGCGTGGCCAAGGGATTTTGTAGAATGCCTCTTTTTTTTTTTTGTTATTAAACAAACAAACAATCGTTTCTAAAGTATTTTGCCCAAACTCTTTTCTGGGAGTGCATATCATAATTTTTAATTGGCTCTTCTTACTGGAGGGTGGAGTGGAGTAAATGTGGGAAATTATAGGAAGAGGAAACAGAATGATAATTGAGGATAGGAAAATAGGATGCATGTACTTTTTAACTTACTTTTTAACTGAATGTCGTGATGGATGTTGTTGTTGTTGTTATGTGCCATCGAGTTGGACCCGACTCATAGCAACCCCTTCTTGGGTTTCCGAGGCAGTATCACTATGGAAGTAGATTGCCCCATCTTCCTTCCGAGGAGTGGCTGGTGGGTTTGAACCGCCAGCCTTCTGGTTAGCAGTCAAGTGACTTAGGCACTATGCTACCAGAGCTCCCATCCTGATGGATAGAGGAAGACAAAATAGGAGTGTCAAAAATTGTTAATGTATTTGATAAACTGTGGCCACCAAAATGATCTTTTTGTTATATTTTGACATAAACAATTGTCGTTTTATTGGAACATTAATACTATTTTGGAATATCATGGGCATCTAAAGGCAGTAGTTTAGTGGTATCCATAAAGCATCAAATACCATTATAACATCCAGTAACCCTAACAGCAGTATTTCAGAATCTGTGCCTGTTTAAATGGGATATCTGTGAATGTACTTGCTCAGGGATGCATGACCCACATCACCTATAAATTTGATTGGAAGCCACAGGGCTGGCATAGGCTGATGGATAGCAGATTAGAGCCCTGATTAACCATGTGATTCGAAGACTGGGAATATATTGTCTAAGCAAGATTCATCAGACGCAATCAGAATTTCAAGTGGTCAGATGAAATTCAAATGTGTATTGTGGCTTTTCCTCCCCTAGTGCTTTTCCTCCTGTGTTGCCTCCCCATCCCCCCCTTTCCCTAAAGCTGAAAAATACTTCCTTGATGAATCTGCTCCTTACCCTAAAGCTGCCTGTCTGTTATTCATCAGAAAGCAGGTCGCAGTTCAGTGAGCAGAAGAAAAGATTTTAATAGAAGCTGTGCCAAGGGCTGTAATGCATCATTTTAGGGCCCTAATTACATTACAATGACAAATATCAATGGTGACAACAGCAATAACCTACATCCTTTAATGGCTGTGCTGGAAAAGGAGTTTGGGCCCCACGCCATTAGATTAGACTCAGTTTCAAAACATAGGCCATTAGAAGTGTGTGTCCACAGTATTATGGGCTGATCACTGAAGCCCAGTGGAAAGGCCTGTAAATAAATGATGCCTTCCTAAAGCTGGGCCCTATGGGACAAAAGAGGCAAAATTAGATGACCATGGAAGCCGAAGTGTTTCCGAGGCAACTTTAGCTTTCAAAGTGAGGAATGACCTGCTTAATTTCATGAAATCACACACACACACACACACACACACATCCCACCCTCCTTGCTGCCAATTAGCCTGACCATGAAAATCCATTGGCATGACAACTTAAAGAAATTAAGAAGTCTCCTAAACAAAAGGAGACCTTAAAAAAAAAAATTGGAAGGTGTTCTCCCTCATGTTTCTGTTAACGTATGTGTGTAAACACAGCATTCTTCCCTTTAAAATTTATTTTTAAGAAAATGTAGAATTTATTTCTTTTCCCCAATAGCTGCACAGATTTAAAATAGCCTAGGTCCAAAATAGAGGAGGAGATATCCTTTGGTCTTTATCTTGCCAGGTGAGTAAGTTGCCTTAGAGTAGTTTTTATTGCCTAGATTATGTAGGCAAACTAAAGAACTAGGTTTTCTTATGTGCCCACACATTTTTCAGCCTTCCTAGCAAGGGACTATTTTATTTATGTAAACAACATAATGAGGAAAATATGCTTGGCAGATGGTTCTAAGCATTAGAATCATCAGTTTGGTCTGCCCCAAAGTGTCTCATTATCTTTTATTCTCTCCCCCTCCACCTCTCCCTACAAAAAGCTTAACAACCAAATGCCTTTGAGACACAGTGCTTTCAGCCTGGTGAATGCTACTCTGTTTTCTTAGCTCACCCTGGAATTTTACCCCCATAACCATTGTGGTTTGTCGACCAGGTGGAGAGTGGTTTGGTGATTCCCATTGCAGCTTTTCATGGTGGTGTAAGCATTCTTAAAGGACAGTTAAATGCTCTGTGGGGCCAGTGCAGTAAATTAAATCAGGTCAGCACAGTTGGGTCCTTATTCACTGATGTTCATTGGTGCTGGCTTTTTGTCCATCCTGTTAGGAATGTGGGCTGGTCTTTTGGAAAGCTTCAATTTGAAACTACATGGTGAATTTGTGTTTTCTCTTGGCTGGCAAAGTTTTTAAGGTGCTGGCATTTAAAAGATTGCATAGCTACAAAGTCAAAAGGGTTGCTGATGAAAGAAGGAAGCCTATATTGCACAAGTGGAGTGGTGCTGTCATTCTGGTAATGACTTAGCAAGGAAAAAGCGTTTTTTGTCTTCTTGTAAAATGAAGAACTGACCCTGGATGGAATTTAAGAATGTCTCAGGAATAGTAATTGCTTTACTTTTTCTGCCTCTCAGTACTTCTCACCTCTGCTTTTCCCCACCCCATCGTTACACTATAAGCCAATTTGTATGTATGTGTATAAATAACTGTATCTTCACATGTCACACACTAAAGTATATAGGGTACCGCCTGAAAATACAAATTAAGTCCAACATTGGTGAAGCTTTGGGTAGTTTTTAAAAGAAAACCTGTAGTGATGGCCTTCCCCCCCCCAAACTTACTATAGGATCTTATTGATGTAAAAACACTGTTATTTCCAAAAATTACTAGAATATACTCACTGATTTGGCATTGTTGGGACTTTTGGAAATCTACAGTACAAGATAATTAATGTTCCTAAGGTTAATCTCCATATACATACAAATTGGTTTCTGCTAAGTGTAGTAAGATACTAGCATATTCTAAACCCCTCTGTACAGGCAGTCTCTGGGTGATGAAGGAGACAGGTTCCTAATTGTGTGTTTAAGTCTTTAAGTGGAATTTGTGGTCAGTCTGAACAAGTGCATGTATGGTTTCCTGTTTAGCCTTACTTCAGAGCAAGAAAAGCCTTGTAGCCTTTTTCCATGATTTAAAAGCTACATGTGCAGTAAGAGAAGGTGATTGTGATGAAGAATTTGTTGTGAGTAGTGGTTGTTTGAATCCTTTCAAATAAGGCCAAATTTACATAATATTAGAGGGAAGTAGGAGTTGTCCTTAAGTTCTCAACCTGGGGGACTGTTTCTATACTGTATGGAAAAATCCTGGAAATTTGTGCCTCAGCAGTTTATAACTGAGAATCTGAATCAATCAACCAATTTGGTTTGGTTAGGTACTATTCTTTAGGAGGTTGGGATATGAGTGTAAAATCCCAGTGACTGTATTTAAAACAAAGACCACACATGTTGAAATCTAATGAGTTTGTTAATAGAGAGACCTTGGGATGTAGGGATGAATGTATCTAAACTCTTAAGGGCTTAAGAGTGTATAAAAAACCAAATTAGAACGGACAGGGATTCTGTTGGAAGCTTTTGGAAACTGATTTCTAGTCCTGAAAATTAAGTTCCTTTTTATGTTGTTCTGGTGCTAGAAGGTTAACTTTTTAAAAAAGGATGAATGCTGCTTAATAAATTGGTGCTATTAATGTGGCATAGTTGTCACTACCTCCTTTTAATGGGCTTGCTGATGAGATCATTTTCCTCTTCCTTAGGAAATACTCCAGCCAGAATACAAAGTGTGTTTTAATATCATCTTGTTAATATTTTGGGAATCTGTAACCAGCTGACTGTTCTTTTTATTGCTTTTCTTTTCTTTTTTTCTTCCACAGGCAGAGATCGTCAAGAGGCTGAATGCTATCTGTGCACAAGTCATTCCTTTCCTGTCCCAAGAGGTAAGAGAGTTGGTTTCAGACATTGAGTGCTAAAAGTTGGCATTTTAGTGGTTTTGCAGATCAGGGGTCATGGAACTGACTCTCTGGCCTTGTCAAACTTGTGGCGTTTGTCTTTGACATTTCTTAGATACAGTATTCCCATTCCAGCTTCTATACCATATTAACATTCAGTAAGATATAATTTAAATATGTTTATGTAATGGAATGTTTTCTAATATGCCATGCAAAATTTGATTGTTAAAATATTTTGCTGTCATTGTACGATGACTTTCTGTCATAATAGTATCAACGAGGTTAGATTGAAACATTGCTAGAGAGACAAGACTTTGTTCTACACTTTTGTCATTGAGCATTAAAAGTTGGCAGAAGGCATATCAAATAGAAAGGCTTTACACAGTAAATAAATTCATGCAACTTTTGGCCAGTTGCTTTTAAAAATACTGCTTACTATTATCCAGTTAAGTCCATATTGTCTGTGCTTTTGGGAAAAGACATATGCAAGGTAGAGTCACTTCTCTGAATACCACTTTTCATAAAGTTTGATTTTGATGATGGGGATCTTTGTGTAGCGCCAAGGCTCAGGATGCAGTTCATAGCTTTCTCTTGCTCACCAGCAGTGTATGCGCCCACTTTCACATGCATGCAAGCTGGATGAGAAGGTGTATTTCTAGTTCCGGGCGGCTTCCTTGTGACTCTTTGTCCTTTTTGTTTGCTTGCTTGCTTTTGGTAGTTGTAAAATTTAGAGGAGAGTGCCAGAAAGAGAGAATTCTTGCTTCTCTATCACTGAGTCCTTCATTTGCTCAGAAACGCTTGGCTATGAGAAGGAAGAAGCTGACAAATGGAGGATCTGCATATCTTACAGATATAGGGCTTGGTGGTGTGGGCTAAGGCGGCATCGAGGCACTTTATTCTCCCTCTTCCAATTGTTCTTGTAGTGTGCATGTGCTTTTCAGGAGAGCAGTTCACCTGCCCGCTGACTGGTGAGCGTGTTGCTGTGTCAGCAGCCAGTATTTGAACATGCATGTGTGTTATAGATACGTGGATTCCTGTGGGACTTCTTACTTGCTTAGAACTGGGTTCACCTTCAGTAACCATGAGTGCTCCTTATCAGGTATATATCCCATGGGGGCTCTCATATTCACAAACGGTGGACCTGTTAGCATCCTGAATTCAAAGGCTCTTCTGGATCACAAACAACAAAGCTCTGTTGTGTCCTTTATCCACCATTAGCTGTGACCACAGAACCACCACTCGTCCTAGCCCCATGTAGCTATACCTACTCAGGAGTTGCTAGTGACTAGATTAGATGGGGTGGTGATAAGAAAGCCAAGGGATTATATTTGCATTTCTTGGGGAAGCCTGGTTGCCCTTTGCCTAATCCAGACTGGTGTGTGTTTCTTTTTATTTTAAGTATCTCTTCTCTATGGAGACAGAATGTGTAACCCACAGAGTTGTAACTAGGCTGAGAGATATCGTACCCTAAGGTGACGGAGGAAAATTTGAATTGATTACAGCTGCATTCCCATGGCATTTCTGCAGGGTCTGTGGGGTTTATGTTCAGAAGTTAGAGCAAGTCTTAGAGGTGTTAATGGAGCTTATTTGCCAGTTGGTCATTTTCCCTCATGAGTTAAGTATAGTTTGTGTGAGCAGGCCAGTAGAGAAGGCAGTGTGAGGGTAGTAGTGCTGAACAAGACTGGACTGGAGCTAATTGGCTGAGGAAGTAGCCCTGTATCAGAAAGCCATGGGGGAGTTTCTGGTAATTCCTTTGCTTCTGCTTTAGGCTGGAAGTTTAGGCATCCTAATCTCACTGCTTAGGGTTTTTTTTTTTTTTTTTTCTTTTCCTGGCATTTCTTGGTTGAAATCCTTGATTCATGTATGATGATGACCTATTATGTCATGGTTTTCTGATTCCTAATTCTGCAGATATCTTCAATGTGTGGGCCACAGATACGTTTGTTCCAGTACAACTAGGGCCTCCCTGATGTCTTATGTCTAAACATTGCCCACCTTATTTCCTCTTCTAGGCTTTCTCTGAGCATCAGACTCCTCATTTCTACCCTGAGGCCAGATGGACTGTAATCTGGAGGGAGGGGAGGAGGCAGGTTATTAGAGGAAGATGAATTCTATTTCCTGTCTCTTCTGAGGCATGGAAAATCACTCTTGCATGGCTGCGGGCGTCACTCGGTGCCAGGGCTGAAGGTCTGAATCTGATCTTTAACACCGGCTCTCTGTGGGGCAGCCTCCCTGCCAAAACGGCAGCTGTGCTGTTAGAATTTATTTAAAAATGTTTTTATTTAAAAATTAAATGATCTATTTAGAAAAAGGAAAAACATTCCCTGAAGACCAGTGCATAAGCTGCAGGATAGTGGCCAGAGGGAGTTTGAGCATCTGAAATCAGGCTTTTTGGAGTTCGACAGGAACAAGAGGTAAATTTACCTACGTCTCAGTGAAACCTGCTTTTAATCTAGCTCCTATGTCCTGGTTAATGTGTTTGCTTAATACTGCTTGTGTTGTTTGCCATATTTTCTAAAATTAAAAAAGAAAAAGATTTATTATATAGTATTTAATGACAACTAACAAACTTTACCTGCAGAACTTTTTTAGAAATAAATTGTATAATTATAGCTGAAGAGTACTTAAAAGTATGTCTATGCATGTAAGAATCACAGAAAAAAAATAGTTATTTTCCTTTAAGGTTTCATTAAAGATAGATAGATATAGACATAGATATATAGCCAGTGTGTGTATTAATGAATGATGTGCTTTTGCACTGAACATGTGAATACTTCCAAAGTCTTGGGCATTACATAGTTCTATTGCCAGTGCTTGTCATTAAAGTGAGTAACCATCACTTACTGTTTTTAGAATTCATGGGATCCCTGACACTTTGTCAGAATTTAGGGAAGCTTTTTGAGCTATTTCCTGTCTGAATCTTATCTTTTCTCCCACTTTCTTCTAGCGTTTGGGAAAGGGTAAGAGTGGTCAATATTCTTTACCTCCCCCAAAAAAAATTTCTTCAGAAGGCAAATCTCAAAATAGTAAGTGGGAAGCTCTTCTCTGTCCCACTTTGGGTCTCATTTGCAGGGAAAGAACTATAAATAAACAGCTCCTTGTTGGCAGTTCCATTAAGCAAGAGATGCCAAGATGATGACAGAGTCATATCTGGGTGGAGTCCCAACTCCCCTGTTACAGATTGCATGGCTTACCTGAACCAAGTTAAATTAGGTGACTTTTAGCAAGTGATTTGCTTCTTTAAACCTCAGTTTCCTCAGCTGTACAGTGAGGTTAATAATAGCATGGAACACATATGGTTGCTATGAAAATTACTTGAGATTATACACGTGCAGTTTAGCGCATCATAAGCACCTCTGATGTGGACTAGCAGGCAGTAGTACTAACTGCTTCAGCAGCAGCAGTGAACCTCTGAGTTTCCTTTTGGGAGGACCTGGATCAGCCCCAGACCAAACCCTGTTTTATTTTTTTGTTGTTGTTTGTTTGATTAATAAAATTTTATTTTGTTGTTGAAAATATATACAACAAAACACACACCAGTTCAACAGTTTAGTGACATTGATTGCATTCTTCATGTTTTATATAACCATTCTAATCCTCCTCTTCTGAGTTGTTCTTCCCTCATTAACAGAAACTTTCTGCCCCTACGGGTCCTGTCTAGTCTTTTGAGTTGCTGCTGTCTGTTTGGGAGCTCTGGTAGCATAGTGGCTAAGATACTTGCCTGCTAACCAGACGGCTGGCGGTTCAA